AAAAAAAAAAAAAAAAAAAAAAAACTCTGGGTTGCTGCCTGCAGCCACTCTTAACAACATTTCAACACAAAAGCACCCTAAAAATTACTTAATATGCATACAGTAAACCTTAAAAAGCCCTTCTCAGCAATAACAAATAATGTACAAATATAGTACCTTTTATTAAATAGGAAACAGCTTGCACTGGCAGTACATCTTTTTCTCTTGCTTACTAAACAAAAAACAAAACTGAAATGTGTAACCAGACACTGGCTTTTTAAGTGCTGCTGAGACTAACAAACGTATTTTACAGTTACAAATAAATGGACAGTGGTATGCTTCAAGCTACCACAAACCAACAATAAATAGAATCAATTACAGCTTCCATCTTTGAAGGAAAACTAAGTATTAGAAGAAAAAAAAAGTGTCTTACTTATACTTTAAGCATACCTTTAGAAGGCAAAGACTTTATTTCGGTTTTTTTTTTTAAGAGCGCGTCATCACGCAAATCGGAGGGATGTAGCATGCTAATGTCAACTCGTTTAACAGCTTCGCTATTAACGAGCGGTGACGGTGTTGTCCGGCTCTGTATGGCTATGCCCACCGTTGAGTTATTGCGATACTTTGCTGGTAGCCAAAGTACAGCCAAGGAGCGGCGCGGTGGCCGGCAGCCCCCCGAGGAGGCTGCGGACGGCGATGGCTAAGGCAGGGGAAGGAGGGAGCGCCGGCAAACTCCATCAGCACGTGATGAACATCCCGCTAAACCAGGCTTAACATCACCTGCTTGGGGATGGCACGGGGAGGGTGGTTCAGCTCCCACCACATCCAGCCGATGCCGTGTCGCCTTCCCGTTTGCCACAGGAGCCCCGGGCTGGGCGAAATTTGGGCCCCTGCGCTGGATAGTTTGGCGGCAGACAGGTTGGTTAAGGGTTTTGGGTGCAATTTGCTCTCCCTCTATCGCGCCTGGGAGCCCCGGGGTGGCTTTTAAGGTGACTTTTTATCTTCAGCATTTCCAGAGGCGAGTATCGCTGCCCTTGGACTTGTCTCTCTAACACGGCAACAGCCACATCGGCTTCAAAGTCAACACAGCATCCTTACGGCTCTAGCATTTAATGCTATCGGGCGGTGATTCGCTACCAGGCAGTTTCTGTCTCAAGTTTTGAACCTTTTTATTCCATCGAGTGGGCTGAAATTGCAAGGGGAGGGGAAAAAGTTTCACCAATTCTCCCTTACTCCCATTTCTGAGATATTTAACAATTCATTATTTGTAAAATATGGGATATGAAACGATTCAGATTTTTCTTTGGGAAAAAAACCCACCCTGTCGAAATAGAACATTTTAAATATGAATATTTTCAAATTTTGAAGTTCTGAGAAAAATCCTGGGAGAAGAAGAAATTAGGGGAAGGGTGGAAAATATTTCATCCTTCCTACCATTTTTCCAGTGTCTCCACAACTACTGATTAAAAGGCAAGACTGTGTTGAAGGCAACCAGACAGGTAATAAAAATATTTTAAACACAATATTTCCTTCATAGGTTATATAAAAAGATCCTACATCCAAAATCATTTGATGTGGATGTATTTGGGTTGGGTTTGTCGTTTTTAAGTCACATTGTAAACTGGTTCACACTGGAACTGCTTTTCAGAGTTGGGTAAAGGTTGAGGTTTACACCATTGCAGAAATGTAATAAGTAAAAAAAAAAAAAAAACAAACCACTTTTAGAGACCGAAGTCAATATATCATTACATTAAGAAACGTTTCAAGGGTCCAAATGTCATTAAATAATTATAAATATTCTTTTAAAGTTATATGATGATTCATGTTAGCAAACAACCTCAAATTTTACACATTTATAATTTAAAAAAAAAATAAAAAAGAACATAGCCGAACACAAATACTATGTATACCATTTTGGCTCTAGTAATATATATTGCCATTTTCATTTTTTGCATAAGTAATAACATTTTGTTTTTTGTTTTTAAAGGTTTTGGTTGTTATTTTTGGTTTTTGGCTAATCGAAGGCAAAATGAACGGATACAAAAGCAAAAAGGAAACCCCAGGGTTGTCTAGCCTAACTTGAAGACTCGTTCTCTTTAAGTACCCAAAAACAAACCAAAAAAGCAATGAACACAGAGAAGTTCCAACCGTTAGCTGCAGCAAGGCTCGGACAGAGGTTTTTGGGACAGCTGTTTTCATCTGAATGTATCATGGCAAAATGGAAGCAACTCGACCTTTGCTTTCCTTTTTATGTGCACCAATACAAGCCAGTTGAATTGCACTACGGGGGTGAAGAGGGTCCCATATGTTGTATGATTGCAACTGTATCTGGAGTTCATGGTTAGGGGGTTTTTTTTATTAAAAAATAAAAGGGAATGCAGCCTTTGCCTTGCATCACCATGTTTCTCCTGATAGCTGGGGAGTCCATTCTCTCCTCATTGGCATAAGAACTCACTAGTTATTACAACACTCTAGACCAAAAGAGAAAAAAAAAAGGTGGGGGTGATTTTTTTTGTGTGTGTAAAAAGTACATTTTAAATATAAAACAAGGTAAAATGGTTCCAAGGGAAAAAAAAAAAAATATGTGCTTTGATCCACATAATCTGAAACATGGGTTGTGGTGTGTTGGTAACTCTTGTGTTATTTATGGCCATTATCATCCCATCTACACAGTTGCACATATGTAAAATCTATATTTTAAAAAAAAAAAAAAAAACACAAAAAACAGGCACTTCGTAGTTAGTCGACCGTTTGTTTGGTTTTTTTTTTTTTTTTTTTTTTGGCTCGCGGAGGTCGGGCCGGCTACAGAAGAAATCTCAGTACGGCCTCCAAACGGACTCATCCATTCTGCCACTAGAATTCAAGACGGTTGGGGAGCTGCTGTGGCTGCCATCCGCCTCCACCCCGTCACTCTGGTTGGGCAAGTTAGGGTTTAACAGCGTGCTGCCGTTGGACGTGGTGGTGCACGGAGGAAGCATCCTGGAGGGGGAGCGGTCCCCTCCCGGCACCATGGGGAACTGGTATGATCCTGACGAAGTGCCATAGTAGAGATATGGAGTGCTGCTGGTCTGGAAAGGTCCACTTTGGTTTTGGGAAGAGCCGGGGTAGGGTGGTGGTAGGTAGGTGTGGTAGTGAGTGGTTGCGGACATACCCAGTGACATGCCTGAGGTGACTGGCGGTGTATAGGTAAAGGTGGCTGGATAGTGCATTCGTGGGTTGGAGAAGCGGCTCTCAGTGAGGGATGAAATGCTTGTGAACTGCCTGGGATCTGAAAATGGGCCCAGCTCTGAAGCACCTAAAAAATTATAACAAAAGACGGGGGAAAACAATTCTGTAAATACCATTTTTTGTAGCAAGTGATGATAGAATTTTATTTTTCTAAGAAAACCCACTTCTTTTGGCCCCCAAGAGAACAGCAGATCATATCAAATAATACATTGCAAGGAACAGAAGCATACACCTGTCTTCTACAAGCGCTGGGCCAAACTCATCCCTGGTCTAACTCCACCGATGCCAATGGAGGGAGCAGCATTGCCAACCTGAAGCGTTCAAAGGTCGTAAGTCAGGCCGGAAAAAAAAAACCCATCTCAAAAATCAAGAGATTGAAAAAGAGCCAAAAAGAGAAAGGTGGATTTGAAGTTGATTTGCCTTCTGGTTTCTGACCTTTAAGGGTTACGTGTCTCTGGGTTTTTGCTATAGCCTTTTGAGAAACTCAGGTCTGGTTGCACATGAAAGCTGAGATTCCCACCTCAGCACATGCCGTAGGGAGCTGGTGTTTCGAGAAAAGCAGAAATTACCGTGCAACTTGTAATAAAACTACAAGAGTTGGCAACACCGAGTTAGTTGCACCACTGACACCAGGGGAGTTACACTGGGGGTGACCAAGCCCCACTTCTTGCCTTAAATCAATTTATTTAGGTGACGATCTGCTCAGCTCCTTCCTATGGCCGAAAAATATTATTTGCTGCATCCGAAGGATGGGCAAAGCCACTGAGCTGATAGCAAAGATGCAAATTTTACTTTTCAGTGCAGTCGATGGAAAATTACAAGCCCAACACTCTTCTTGCCATTGAAAGAAGTTGTTTTCCTACGTAGTCCGTGCAGTCTGGTTCAAAAAAAGACCGCACAGTTTATGGCTACTGTGAACGTCTGGATGGTAACGCTGTGAATTGGAGTCTAACGCAAAACAGGGATGGGTAAACTCATTTTGCCTAATTTCTAATCCCACATCAAAAGCCCAAAGTTTTGGAGCAGAACTGGAAAGCAAACGTTAGTAGCTTGGTGATCTGCTTAGGAGACTGTGGGATGGACAGGAGCAGAAGAAAAAGATGGTGAAAGCTTGCATTGAGAGCCAGAAAAGTGGAAAACAAAAAGGGTGTGGGAAAAGGGACGGGGCGGGAAAGAAAAAGCCTAATGAAGAAGTACAGTGCAAGAGGGAGGGAAATGCATCGGCCAGTATGCAGTAGATACATACAGACATTTTTAGAGAGAGCGAGCTGGAAAGAGCAGGGTATAAATAAAGCGGAAAAATCATGAAATCAAATGGGCTCTCCCTGCACTTCCCAGCCGACACTTCTACAGCTTTACAGTCCTCTAGATCCAAGGGTTCACCCATCTCTTTGCCAACCTACCCAATCTGATTTACCTAAAAGGACAATATGGCATCTTCTAGATGCCAGACTGACGTGCTAAACACTGAAACACCCTGTGTATCCTCAACGTAAGATGCAGCAATGCTTTTCCTTGTAGATGGGCTTTGGATCTGACCTGCCGACACTGCTGTGTAGAAGCAAGGTCCCTCCAGCCCTTCTGCCCTTGGCCCCCTGTAGCACCCACAATGGTGGTTGCTACCATAAGCCACAGACTCAACAGACCCTGCCACCTTGTGTGGCACAGTTTGTGATTTAGATCACTATTCTCTCCTGTTCTACCAGCTCATTTAACCCACGCCTTCAATATAGAATCAGACAATACCTAAAAGCGGCAGGGGGGCAGAGCTCAGGCACAGCTTGGGTTCAGGCTGGAGGACCTGGGCCACAGCCAGCCAAGTGTCCAACTCACACAACCTGAAACCCGGAGATTATAATCCGCTGCCTCAAAAGATATTGAGTACAGAGCTTTAAATGGGCAGTAAAAGCCCATTTTTAACTCTGATGACAATGTGATTACTATTATCTTTATCTGGAACCGAATCAGTGACCTACGGGTGAATGGGTCTGTCTCCATCATCAACCCCTCCAACCACAGCACCGTGGAATGTAATATAACTTGTACCTTTACAGCAAACACTCTACTACTTGATGCAACTTCTTTCGTTCCCAACTGCAAACAATAGCCAGAGGCGATACCACCCAGATTCAAAGCTGTAATTTTGGAACACTATCCTTTATATTGTGAACAGGTCTGATACGTATCTGGAAGTATAAGGTTAGAACATAATTTCCCCAGCTGCTCAAAATACCGAGTTTCAATCTGCTACCGCTTATACTCCTTTTTTGTTTTTTTCATTGTTATTGCAACTCTCCCAACACGAACAGAGCTGCTCTTAGTTTACCCTGATAGAAGCTAAACAAGACTCTTATAATCAAAGGGAGAATTGGTATGAGTGTAAGGGTGTACAAGAACATCGGCATTTTTGGTTTCTTTGCAACCAATGCCTTTTTTTTTCTTTAATAACAAACTTTCCACACAGTTTCACACATTAAAAGGCAATCTCCCTTTCAGGGCTAGATCCAAATATTATCTGTATGGGTGCTGCCGAGAGATCATGTATGTGTCGAATGACTGGGAATGTGCACACCACACGTAGGCATTTCTAATGTGGGGCTACAGACCTCCTTACATACCCTAGTAAATCCACACTTGTTTGTTTTTACTGTTGCTTGTAAAGTACAATCCTATTTACCCAAAGGCCAAATAACCATAACCCTTTCTTATCTCACTCATGGCTGTGTCTGCATGGCTCCTGCACAAGCACTTCTCCAACCCTCCTTTTGCCCAAATACCTTTTGCTGTCTCCCTAACTCCCTGCACTAGGTTGCAATTTGTTCCCAGCCTTCTGTATCTCCATTGTGCAAAGGTATTTTTGGAGATCAGAAACAGTTTTCTGTCATGCCTGTTCTAAAGCCTCTTTTCTAAGCGAGTCCAGAAACCTTTTAAAAAATCGCCTCTAAAATTCAGCTTCTTGCCATCCTCACCGCTATGCAATCTTACTGATGCATTTTGACCCCCTTCCTCCTACTCTCTCTGTGCTACCTCCTTGTGTTAAGGTTGATTTTGGTTCTAACTTGCACACACCAGATGCATATTCATCTATGTATGTTTAGCTCTTTGCTGGACTGGGAAGCTAAATAGCTCTTCTGGGTATGGCACTCATCTTTGTATATCTAGTTGTGCACAAATAGCGATGTCGATCAGCAATATAGTAACATGACAGTGCAAGTAAATAATTTATTTATTCATCTCCCCAGCAGGATTAAAGATTTATGCTAATTTTTCCTCCGTCAGAGTGAGAAAACGATTTGCATCTGTGAATTCCCACTCTCGTGATAGCTTGTATTAAATGGGTGAAGCACAGATCCTCCACCCTACATTGTGGCCACATGATTGCGAAACCACACTTCTGTAAAGAGAAGAGACTTTATTTTGTGCCGCCAGAAAGAGAAACACGGCAACAAGCACAGCAAGTGATCTTCTTTCGCCACGCAGTCTGATCATCTCACCGTGCTTGACAATACCCCCCCAAAAAAGTATATTTAAAAAAAAAAACACCTTTACATCTGAAGGAGCCCAGGTTAAACTGTTTTTAAATCTTCCAAGCTGATTCTTCCCTAACGTAACTTGGCACTCAAGTTTTCTGAGAGCTATACGTTCAGAACAGAGAAGTGGTAATGTTAATATGCCAATATATATGCTAACATCCTAGATTCAAGAATACTGCTCCAGTGTGTTTCATATTTAGAATAAGAACAATTAAAATTCCATGTGGTTTCACTTATTTTGATGCAGAAGCCTCATTAAAAACCCTAGACTTGGGCATTTGCCAGCAGCCGACTAAAATGGTTTTGCATTTGTGCTTAAAAACCAATTTTACCTGTTGCAGATTTGCAGCTCTACTGTTTACAGCTGAATGCCTACCATGGTCATTTCTCTTTTTCGGTTTACAGATGCCAGCTAATGCCAGTTAATGTTCATTTCTCAATTAATAAGCTGTGCTTGTGGTTTGCAGAAAATAAGGCAACAAATTTCTGCCAGGTTTACAGCACTTTGGCCAATCGCTTCCAATTATTAAAGATCATAATGTACTGCGGATAGATACTCCTTGTGGATTAACTCCTTGTGGGTACAGCAAGCTGACATCTACTTTAAAGGGTTATAGGATAATTTTATAACTTACAAATATTGCAATTTGCTTTGTCATTTTATGCTGTAAGGTCACTACTGAAAAAAAAGGTCCCCTTGGCTTACTGCATATGTCTGATAGGGAAATTTCTAGCACATCAAGTCAGTGCATAATCACTGGATGCAAGAAAACAGAGTGGTGCTGTATTCGAAAGTCACTGAGTAGTCTGTCTCACGGAAATTCAGCTACATATAGTTAAATATATTTACCAGTAGCTAAATGATTCACTTGTGTTTTGGGGAACTTCAGTGTTAAGACGTTCGCTGAAGCAGATACTAGATTTTGTGGTTTTTTGTTCAATAGTTCAATTCAGGCTGGGACGTAGCACTAATTGATCTATTAAATTTGTTTTTTCCTTCCCTAACATCTACGTCTACGAATTATATGTGCAGCTTGGATTACTTACAGCTGATAATATTGCCTCGTATGAAGTATGCCACACACTTCACATGATGAGACGGTTTTCAGTCTCTTACAGCTTTGCCAAACTTTAAACGTTCTGGCTGAAATTGTCCATGCTGGGCGTCTGTCTCAGGCTAAATTGTGATTTATGCATTTATTTGTTTTTAAAATTTCAGCTGAAACTCTTCTGCTGGGAAAAATATATTGTTTTACTAATCTTAAACTCCGTGGAGCCTGCCTTTGAAAAGCTGTACCAGTTCCACGCTTTGAAGTAAGGACTTGAACTTTGGAATAGGAGTGGCTTTTGTGTGAGAGACGTTGCCACGAAAATCCAGCCAAATATGAACAAATCATAAGCATTCTGCCTAAAAATGGGCAGAAGAGTCAGTGCCCCTACAAAGACACTTGTCCAGAGACTGGAATGAAATCCAGGAGTCCCAAGTCCCAGCATTTTTTGAAATGTCTGCAAATATTGCTGAAACACTGGGACA